CACATTTTGATGCGTGTTGCCCCCGGGAGTCGGCTTTACACGTGTGATGCCTTCTGCTCCAGGGCAACGTGGTTTGCTCAGCGCAGAACATGGCAGAGATTGCTGCAATAAGTTTTTGTTGTCCCTGCACAGCAATCACTTGTATATCGAGCCTTGGTCTTCTAGTCGCTTTGTATTTTCCAAAGAAATTTTCGTCAAAGTATGGTAGCGTTTAAAAGACCTCTAAACCGTCTACCATGGCGCGCTCCGTGAAGAAGCCTGGTGAGAAGTTTTGCTGGGGTCGGTTTTCGGGAAGTGTGGTCGAAACTTTCTTTATGTTGATAACTTTTGTTTGCTAGATGACCTTTTCATGGCCCGGTGAAATATTTTTGACTACTCTGTTTTTCTTAGTTGTTGAAGAAGCTGACCTATGTAAAATGATGCCCGACTTCGTTGGTTTTAGACTAATTTGTTTGTGTAGTGTTGCTCGATATCTACAAATGGTTTGTACTGCAATGATTGGCCAAGGGTCACCTTTTTCCTTTCCTAAATAGTCCGTGGCAAATTTGCAGATGCGGGTGCCTGGCTGTTCAAGCAGGTAATAGAGTCCAGAGGAACATGTCGCACTGCTTTTAGTTGTTCAAACCTGATCTATCCAAGAACATGATGTATAGAGTAGGCGTACAAGGGTTTCCAGGGAACACGGCGTAATCGTTACCTGGTGCACTGAAATCTGTAACAAGGGTGGCTATCAGCCGTTTTCTTAGGCTCTCTTGCGCGCGCTGTAACATTTGCTCAACAGATCTCAGTGAACCGCCGGTCTTGTGAAGCTGCACCGGATGCGCATTTGCAGCTGTGTGAGCGCAACGCTTCATGGCGGCTTCAGCAGTCTATGGAAAATCCCATGGCGTTCCGAGTTGTTGATTTGATATCGTCGGACACTGCTCGTGAGGTCGACGGGGCCCACCTGTCCGAGAGTTCATTCACTGCACAGGGCGCGTGACTGCATCCGGCCCCATCCCGTTCGTCTCCGAACGCCTCCATCCGGTGCGCGCATGCGCGCTGGCGCTGTTTTGGTGCGGGATCCACCTGTTTCTAAATCGGTGGTCCTTGCCCCGGCCATCAAGGCCCTGCGCAGTCAGCCGCTGCGCGGCGGCGCGGCGGCGCAGGGCTTTGACCCACCTTGAAAATTCCGCAGTCACGGGGTAGGAGCGGTCCGATGAGACAGACGCCGCGCGGCCGGCCCGCTGCCCGCGCCCCATAAGGAGAAGGCGCTTTCGGTTGCAGTAGCTTAGGCGGCTGAATCACAGGCCTTGAACGTAGACGCTGGAGGAAGTCGGCGCTCAATTTTTTGAGCCACGTTAATGCTGGCTATCGCGGAGGCTGATCTTCTCTATTCAGAGTGGGGATAGTCTGAAAATAGCCACTGACTGGATACGTGCCTCACATCCCACAGGTATAGAAATAGCGGACGGAGGGCTGTGGTCCCCTACTTTCGAGTAAGTGTGACCGTAACCTTGGTGGTGCATGGAAGGAATCAACTGGACGAGAGGTCCCGTGCCCTTTTTGTGGCCATGTCCGTGTTCATTTTGTGGACGCTCCTGGCCGTCGGGTGCGCGTAACGCTCTTAGATAAACTTCTTCGCGCATCCGAAGCTGAGAAGCCCGTTCGTCTGTGGATCTGTTATGGAGCTGATAATAACATGAATCCCTGAATTTGCATTTCGATTCCCGGATTCAAAGTTCCTAAAATGCCGATGGGTCGTTCGGGATCGTCAATTCCCCCAAATCCGCCGGTCTGAACTTGTCCCCAAAGGATCATTCTCCGTGGAAGATTTTGGACGTTTCTCAAAAGATTTTTCTAGATCGCTGATCTGTTTTTCGTTTTCTTCACGGGGCCTTGTAATCTCTATGTAAGTGAACAATCGCGAATTAGCCTTCGCCCAAACGGATCGTAAGTCGAGGTGTCTTAGTTCCAAGCTGTATGTTTACTTAAAGTTTTCCAGACGGTATAACATTTTCTCCCCAGGGCGTTCGAACGTGTGACTTTGGAATTCCCCCTCTGGAGCACGGCGCTGCCTGATTCCATACTGGTTTCAAGTACTTGCTCCAAAGGCGGAAACGCGATTCGGCCAGATAACCTTGTTGTATTTTCCCACACCCAGCCGCCTCAAAAGATCATTTATCCATGTTTTTTGTGTGTTTTATGGGGTACCGATCCTGCTTATCCAGGTGTCAAGAATCTGTACTGCGGAACATTTCTCTGACATCTCGGATTTTCCGTTGGCACTCTCTGGAGAATATGTTAGAATAGAGGGAAACGAAAACGCTGAGCCAACTTAAAGGTTCTACACTTCTTGTTTAGGAAGACGCGGTGACGCGAAGGAGTAATTTCGAGATTCACATGCATTTCTGATCCAATGTCGGTCCAGTTAGTACGCAGTAAATGAAGCGACTTCTAAGAGTAAGTCGAGACATGTTTTCCTATTACTAGCCTAGATGCGGTTAGGTTTCGTACGCATTATCAAAATCTAAGCTTTCCTGCACGTTAACGCGCTTTGTGGCCTTAATTTTTAATCAGCTCGTTTTGGCATTACCTTATGCTGTTTGACGCTATTGTAAGATAGATACCTATTGCTCTAAATTGCCATCGGCCACCAGCACGTGCCGAACCGTCTATATTCATATCTACGTGGCCAAGCTTTTGTGCTGCTCAAGGAGATTCAGTGTGGACTTTCATTGCGAACAGATGCTCTGTGGTTGGGATCCGTTGTTGGTTTACGCAACCACTTCGGGATATTGTTGCGCTTTTCTGGTCTGTTGGCTGGACAACCAGACCGAACCACCGACGGTTGGTGGCGAACACACGTGCCTCCGCTGTCTGCGTGTACGTATCGGTAGGGATGCGTTAGTACCATACAGTCCAGGGCAACACGCCACGTGTCGGTAGTGATGTGGTCGCACCATACAGTCCAGGACAGCACGTCACGTGTCGGTAGTGATGTGTTAGTACCATACAGTCCAGGGCAGCATGTCGTATGGCTATCACCGCTGTCGGTATCGATCACCGCCGCCCTCGCCGGCTCCGCAGGCCTGTGGGCGGGGGAGGCCGGGCAGTGTGGACTGGCGTTACGTGACCTTAGCTGCTCTGTGCCGGTCCCATACTGGGCTGAGCCTGGCCACAGAGGGACCCTGAGGCCGGGCAGTTGTGGACCGGTGTTACGTGACCTCAGCTGCCCTGTGCCGGTCCCATACTGGGCTGGGCCTGGCCGCAGAGGGATCCTGAGGCCGGGCAGTTGTGGACCGGTGTTACGTGACCTTAGCTGCTCTGTGCCGGTCCCATACTGGGCTGAGCCTGGCCGCAGAGAGACCCTGAGGCCGGGCAGTTGTGGACCGGTGTTACGTGACCTCAGCTGCTCTGTGCCGGTCCCATACTGGGCTGAGCCTGGCCGCAGAGGGACCCTGAGGCCGGGACAGTGTGGGCTGGTGTTGCGTGACCTTAGCTGCTCTGTGCCGGTCCCATACTGGGCTGAGCCTGGCCGCAGAGAGACCCTGAGGCCGGGACAGTGTGGGCTGGTGTTGCGTGACCTTAGCTGCTCTGTGCCGGTCCCATACTGGGCTGAGCCTGGCCGCAGAGAGACCCTGAGGCCGGGCAGTTGTGGACTGGCGTTACGTGACCTCAGCTGCCCTGTGCCGGTCCCATACTGGGCTGAGCCTGGCCGCAGAGAGACCCTGAGGCCGGGCAGTTGTGGACCGGTGTTACGTGACCTCAGCTGCCCTGTGCCGGTCCCATACTGGGCTGTAGCCTGGCCGCAGAGAGACCCCTAGGCCCGGGACAGTGTGTGGCTGGTGTTGCGTGACCTTAGCTGCTCTGTGCCGGTCCCATACTGAGCTGAGCCTGGCCGCAGAGGGACCCTGAGGCCCGGGCAGTGCGTGTGACTGCCTCCGACGAAGGCGCAGGCTCGCCACTGACGCTGCTACGTCGCGGTTAGCTGCTGGACGAGTCAGGACCTGGGAGCTGACAGCCCGACCGGCGGACCGGCGGTGCTTTTTGAACAGGAGCATGCGTGAATCGTTCCAGAAATAGTTTACTGGGATGGAGGTTCATGTCAGCAAAATTAGAGGAACCTGACTTCTGCCCCCCCCCCCCCTCCCTCCCCTTCCGATGTGTACGCCCGTGCTGGTTGTTCAGGTCATACCCATGTACGGCATCACCATTTTGTAGGCGTAAGCAGGTAGAGAGGTGCAAATCCCGCCGCACAGGTTCGCCGCGAACCTGTCGCACTTCCTCGTCGCGACCAAGGCCTTCGGGACCGCGGCTCGGCATCGCTTCCGTGTGGTCGGCCTTCCCGTGCCGGGCACCTGTTGCGTTGATCCGTCGCGCCCTCGGCTCCTACCCGGCCGCAGTTTACCTGCGATTCTTCTCAAGGACTTTCACTTCTTATTGCCGGGCGCTGCGTCCGCCGGCCGGCGCATGACGTCACGGGAAGATGGCGGAAGCGGCCGGCGGCCTCAGTCGGCACCGGAGCCTGCGCCGGCAGGGAGCTTCCGCCGTGCGCTGATTGATATCGTTCGTGCGTCATGCCGTAGCACGCGATCTGCCCTTTAAACGACACTGGTCAGCGAGAGTCGCGCTGCGGCTGCACGCGTGGCGCCGATATAGTGCGTGGAGCGTTTTTCGCCGCTTGCAAAAAGACTTTTGCTGACTCACGCAAGAAGTCGGAAGTCGAGTGTCAGCGAGCGCGATCAGCCGGCCCGCTCGGGGCGGAGGACCGAACCGCCTGAAGACGCCGGTGGCTGGCGCCGCGATGATGCTGTCCGACCTGAAGGGCCTCAGCTACCAGCGGCTGGAAAGCCTGGCCTCGTCGTCGGCCGGCTCGCCGGAGGTGTCGTCGTCGCGGCTGTCGCCGCTGTCGGAGCCGCACCGCTCGCCGGCGTCGCCGTCGACGGGCGCCGTGCTGGCGACGCCGACGCAGGCCATGGAGCCGGCCGACTTCGAGGTGGCCGGCCTGGACGGCCTCATCTGGCGCGAGCTGGAGCTGGGCGGCACGCAGCTCAGTGCCCAGGCGCTGGCGCTGCCCGGCCTGGGTGGGCCGCCTCATCACATGCGCAAGATCCTGATCACGGCGCCGCTGCCGCCGCCGACCAAGGGTAGGACTCCGGGCTGGGAGGGCTGCGTCACCCGCTAGCGGGGAGCGCAGCCAAGCCCCCTCCCCCTCACAGGCCCATGAGGGGGCCTGATTTCAGCGGTGTTGGGGACCTGTGAATGATTTGTGCAGCTGGAAATGCACCGTGTCGGGCATTGGGTAATGGGCTATTCTTACCGGGCTGTATATAAATGACGCTAATGTCAATCGGCGTTTGGTCGTGCCGACCGGACTGCTGGATCGTCGCCTGGTGGCGTTGTTTGGCATATCACCACCAGGCGACAGTAGCCTGCTTGATCCGGATCCAGATCTGGATCCAGTCCGCGTTCAGGCTGTTGCGAGCATATTTTGCGACGTTTTTCTGCTGTGCGCACCCTCGAGGAGAATGAAGGCGTGTGCACAATGGCGTGGAATTGCTAAATAATGCCCGTAAAGGAAACGCATGACGCAGCATTATTATGCTCTGAAACATGGCTTGCGAAGCTTAATGTCCTCGAGGAAAAGTCACGGCCGTTTTACGTGCCCAAGCGCTCCATCCACTTCACCCATTATGGGCCCGAAACTTCAGGTCCCCATGCAGTTATGAACGATACATCAGGATGGGCGTCAAATATGGTTTGGCAGCTGTTACAGTCGGACGCTAGCCTGTAGATAAAAGTAAACACGATATGTAGTAATTTTTCCACCGGTATCTGCTCATTTTTTGGCAGCCTTGCCTACGATGTCGGCATCCTCGTCATGCGCTGGTGTGTCAGTCTTCTTTGACCCACTGATACTGAGCATGCGGGACGTTCTCAGTCCAAGTTCAAGCTGGTGTATCGCCACCGTACAAGTGCAAGTGGTTTTTTACTTCTGAGCCTCACGATTTCCGGAATTTTCCTCTTTAACACGCTGCTGCAAGTAGGAAGTTGTGACGTTGACCGCAGCGAAGAATGGGAGTGCACCCGCCTGGGGTCTAACTGCTCCGTAGTACGTAACTTCCCCCCCCCCCCCCGACCCCGAGGCAGTATTGTTGGCCGTTTTGATGCGGAAGACCCGCTGTGGCGTTGACAACTCGGCCCGCCGTGCCCGGCTCGTCCCCGCCGACCCAGCCGGGCACCGGCCGCCGCCCGGTCGCTCGGCACGGCCTGCATGGTCCGCTCCGCCCGGCCGGCGGCAGGTCGTCCGCCGTGACGTTCTCGGAAGCACGCCGCGCGACCGGCCGTCCCTCCCGGTACGGCTCCGCCTGAGGAGGAGCGGCGCGCGCCGCCGCGGCGGCGGCCGGTGCGTCAGCGGGCCGCGCTCCACTTACGGTCCCGAGAACGGCGTGAGTCACGCCTGGACAAGCCGCGACGGGCGATGCGCGACTCATGGTGATGAGGCGGCGACGAGTCCGCCGGCCGCGGCCCGGCGCGTGGGCCACGTGACTGGTGGGCGGGCTCACCCGGTCCCGGCGGGCTCACCCGGTCCCGGCGGGCTCACCCGGCGGGCTCACCCGCCCCCAAGGGTAGGGTCGGTTGAAAGTTGCGGCCCTCGTTTCCCGTGCGCTCGTCATGCGCAGTGGGTGACGAGCAGCGCGCTTGTTTCACGGATGGCGGTTGTTCTGGCGGTTGAGCGCTGTGAACTATGCATTCCGACGATGTGAAGCAGCTGATCGCCAGAGATCCGCTTGCTTAGTTCATCATCGGATTAGCCATCCACGCCCCTTGGCCGACGGCTCACGCCCGTGTTGACTAATCGCATTGGTAGTTCGGGTGTGAAAGATCCTCGAAAACGGTCTTAATTCACCCATTGCACGCCACGCTACGCAGCAAGACGTGAACCGTAGCTTGGTGCGCCTGCAGCCGCTCCCGGAGTACCGAGCCGGAAAAGGAGCCGGAGGGGTCGGACCCGGCGGCCGGAGCAGCTCGCGTGAGACCGCGGCCCGGCCCGTTGTGTGGCGCCTGGCCGGCCCCGGGCGGCGCGGCGCGGTGCCTGCCCTCCGCCGCTTGTTTGTGCGCCCCCAGCCCCTGATCGGTCCAGATGGGGCGGTGGTCGTGGGGGCGCCTGTTTACCAGCCATTACGTATTCGGCGGCGGCGGGCCGGCGGCCGGCCGCGCCGGGGCAGGGGTGCGCGCCGCGCGCCGCCGGCCGGAGGAGTCAAGGCCGACGCCGCCGCACGCCCTCCAATGCAGGTCACGTGCAGCGCCCGCGCGCGGGACGTTGATCTCA